TGATTTCCTATTTTACCCATATTTATTTTATTTCCAATTCACACACTCTCTCCCTCTCACTTCTCTTTTTTTTAATAATTTAATTGTTCTCTTTCATGCTCTCTCTCCTTATTAATGAGGGCATTTTGGAAAAAAAATTATACTTTTTACACATTGATTGTTCTTAACTAATTTTAACTACTTTTTTTATCAACGTAATTTGGTTATTTGTCTCTTATAATAAGGAACGGAGGGAGTATATATTTGGATCAGATAATCATTTAATTAAAAGTTAATTTAACACTTAATTGATGATAGGCATCATCCCTATGGAATATAAATTTGTGTGTGTGTGTGTGTGTGTGTCTGTGTGTGTGTGTGTGACCCGTGAAAGATACCATGGCCGAAAAAAGACAGACACAAACACACGACAATGATATGAATGCATTTAGATTCTCGGCAATAATTGCTGATGACAAAATTAGTCCAATTAGTTGTTAATAATAATAATAATACAAATCATATAATTATGAAAATTGTTTATTTATTAAATCCTGCTATCTCAATATGACAACTTTATTAATACTCCTTTATGTCCTAAAAGTAGGAGATAGATAATTTATTTATGGAGATTAAAAAAATTACTTGAGTCAAATATTTGTTGATTTTTATTAAATACCCCTTTAATATTTGCAATAAAAATTATCCTCATATAGAATAGCTTGGCCATACCTTCTTCTTCAATATGTGAATTAACAAGAATAGTTTGGGAATAAAATATTATAAATTCAGGAGACAAAATGAATTGAAATATTAAATTTATAATAATATGAGAGAAATACTAAATGAAAGAGATAATTGGATCTAAGTTGTATGTTTAATATCAAACCGGACCATAGGCGATGTATTAGGACTAGATTAGGAAGCAATTATAATCATCATTATACTTATTCTATTCTTAATATAAAAGCTATTTAATTAATTTGAAAAGATTAATGAAGTTAAATAAATTGCTTAATTATAATATGTGATTTGATCTCCTTAAAATACTCTTACGTAGCATTGAATTATTTATTATTTTATCAATTAGATAAACTAGTTTGGTAAAAATGATAAATATATGGGTAAAATGGATTAAGATCTTACGATCAGAATTAAAATCAACTTCCTAACTAGCTTTTATATTTAAGATTAGATAAGTATTAACGTTGCCTTTATGGATCATCATTACAAGTCTAAAGAGAATATATACATATATATATATATATATATATATTGATTATAGGTTAGAAGTATTACTCAATCACACGCAGAATAAAAAGCAATGACATGCACGAGTCTGAAAAATGAATCCCATTAATTATATATTAAAGGTGATTCCTTTTCACGCTGACGAAACATTAATATTATTGTAGAAATTAGAAATAGACAAATATTATGGCGAGGGGAAAAAAGAAATAGACACATGTATGGAACATGTAGAATTTAACTAAGCACTTAATTTAATTATCACAGCCAAGTCATCAAAAAGTCAGGCGAAGTTGGCATCGGAGGAGGACAGATTAATTAATATTGTTCATGAAACAACGAGAGACAAGTTAGAAAAGAAGTACGGACGAGGAATCTTTCTTTTTTTTTTTTTTTTTTGGGACCTTGCGGACGAGGAATCTTCGTAACCTAACGTTTCTGCACATGAGAATCGGATAATCTCCACATAAACACTATTTCTTAATTATAATATAATAAGGTCAAATAATCACTTAATTAACAGCTTATATAACACTTAATGATACGTGTTGTATGTGTCAAACAAGAAGTGAACATATTTTATATCTATATATATATATATATATATATTCATCACTATATATTTGAGTGTTTTGTCTTTTGTATTACTACTTCCGGTTCTTAATATAAGAGCTAGTTAACTATTATTAGTTATTTGTTATTTGTAATAAAAATATGTTATCTTTCCTAAAATATCTTTGCTAATCAAGTACATTGGTTAGAACAACTATTATTATAAGGACTAGCCTAAAAAATGAATAAATATAAGAGGCAAAGTGGATTAGGATCTTATATTAAGATCAAAATAAAAAATAAATAAACTCTTATATTAAGGATCGGAAGTAGTAGTACGCATGCATAGATAATGCGTGTAGATTCTCTCTGATAAGTGAACATATATACTACCCCCCCCCCGGAACAATTTTTATACTTCCAACCTGTACCTATATTTTTGGTCGGTTGATTGTACGTATCAGCTTAAGCACGATTCCTAAGTTTAAGTAGACTAACCATTTGACTCATATTTTATTTAAAAATCCTCAATATAGGGCCCAAAAAAAGAAGAAATATCGAATAGCATACTTTATTAAAGGTTAAGTATTCGAATGTAATTATATTTACTTTAAAATGAAAAATTAGAATATCTTGAATATTTGAAAGATTATTAAATAGACTTTGATCGGTATATTCATCATAAGTTATGAGTTTTTATTATATAAAATTCATTTATTTATACTTCAAAATACATGGATATTCAAGTTGCATTGTAACATACCTTCGCCTTACTTGCTTCATGTTAGAGCACGTAAATGGGATCCGGTTTAAGATGGGTATATAAGGCTCATCCTCTTTGGACTGTTCAAATTTAATATTTTTAATTAATTATTTTTACAATAAAATTTATTTTTTAAAAAAATTAATAATTAAAAAATTATCTTTATTTGAGATTGTTATCCATTAAAATACTTATTTTAAAAAATAAAATCTAAATTTAAATTTGGACGAGGGGATGAGTTAAAAAATGACCTTCCAAACTGGTTTCCATGTGAACGTGAGCGATGCTCACGGTTTACAAAAATGACTGTTATTCCAAATGCATTTTGTAAATTGAAGTTGAGGTAAATTTGTTGTACGACAACGTTGCTCTTTGATGAATGAATGTGTTCTTCTCCGTTATTTGTTCTTGACTTCTTGTTATTTTCTATCGTTGGGAAAAGACGCTGGCTACTTTTCATTACTAACCTCATACTTTCCATGGACCTACCCTGTAAAGAATTCGATGGTGCGCCTACTTAGGCCCATGGGTGAGCACGGCCCAAGCATGGCTAGCCCAAAAGCTTTTTGTTTTGGGGGAGGGTGCGGGGGATTGATCAAGTTAGTTGACTTTAAACGAGACCACATAACAGACATTCCTTCTGGTCCTTGTGGAATTGAAAGTGATCAAAGTGGTTAAAAGTTGGTTTATCACATTCACAAGCCCGTGATATCATCTACTAATAGGAGTTGAGTATAGCAAAAGGATTTAGGGTGTGTTTGGATGAAACCAAACCGTGGTTTGAAAAAGTGATTCTGGAGAATAGATTCTGAAAAAAATAGATTTTGTGACAAAATGATTTTAAGAAGTGAGAGTGTTTGGATAGTTATTACCAGAAGCACTTTTTATATATAGAAATTACCAAAAAGGGTATAAGTTAATATAATGATTATATAAGAGATATTTTTATAATATATTTTGATTTAAAGAAATAAAATTGTTAATAAAATAATTTTTTGATATATTCAATATCCTATAATATTTTTTATAGATACATCTAACATTTATAAATATTTTTAATAGATTAAAAAATATTTTAAAATATTAAATATATCACATTCATTTCTCAAGCGCAACACTAGTTGCAAAAACTAATCAACCAATTGAATATCAATTAGGGCCCCAGCAGCTCAAATACATGATGGTTCTGAGGGACTCTTCAGCCTGCTTGAGTTTGTCAGAGTTGGAAGCCTTGAAGGCGAGAGAATCTAAGGCGTTAGAGAAGCGCCTGACCTGCTTGGAGGAAGAAGAAAAAGTAGAATCACAGAGAGATTTGATGGCAGAGTCGCCGCACTTGGAGCCCTGATCTTTCATTCCCTACCAGGCGCGCATCCCTGTTTGGTACACTATCCTCCACACGTACCTCAAGCTCATGCCCAGCGATCTCTCTCTCTCTCTCTCTCTCTCTCTCTCAATCACACAGAATATGAATGAAGAAGCAACGAAGAGGTGTATGCGAATTGAAGATTGAACTGAATTAATGGCGCTTAAGGGAAACTTGCTAAGTTCAAGAGCGAGAGGTTTTATTTCAGCGATCGAAATTCAGAGAGAACCACTCCAGAAGAGCGAAGCGGCGAGCAAAGAAAGAGGCGAGGTTCCTAAGTGAGTGAATCCGTGAGCAGAGCGAAGAGCGAAGAGTGAATGTGCGAACAGAGCAAAGCGAACGTGTCGGCCAGCACTGCAGATGAAGGGTATTTTTGGGTCAATGCCGTTGCCTTCAATTATTTCAGCCAAAAGTGACAAATTCTTGCTTCTGATGAAACCATGGTTTTTCAACCTGGACCACGGTTTCACTAAAATACCTGTCTGTTTGGATGATTTTATGTGCAAACCATGGTTTGGCCTTCCAAACCATGGTTTGCAATGTCATCCAAACAGGGCCTTAGTCTTTTACAACATCACAAACCGAGGTTTGAGTTCCTACTAAGAGAGGTACCTCACATCTAGTACTAGACAGTGTCTCGAATAGAATCACCTCCGATCAGAGAACAGTTATGCTTAAAAAAATGATATCATCTTGAGTTAATATGCCCATTTATAATTTAAAAAGATTCGTATATGGAGAACTCGTCGTCACATATCTAAGAAGAAGACGAAGAAGTTCTCCATGACTGGGAGAAAACCAGACCCAAGAGCCATTGTCTTCATGCCATCCTCCATCGTCATTGGCTTTCTTAGAGAGAAAGGGTGATGGGGTAAAATGATCCCAATTCTGTCATATTTCATGAAACATTAATATAAGAGCTACATAATTAATTTAGATAGATTTAAGAAATTAAATAAATTAACATATGTGACATCATTTCTCTAAAATATCTATGCATAACATTATATTGTATATTAGTTTATAAATAAGTTAAATTAGATTGGGAAAAAATTAACAATATAAGAGATAAAATGACTTAAAATTTTATAATTAATGACCAGAGGTAGTAATTAATAAATTCAGTAACATTTTTTATCATCAAGTCAACCATAATACCAATGGAGACATAACTAAATGGATTAGTGCATTGCTCTTAAATTTGCTCTACTTAACTGTGATAAATTTTCTGGTTATAATATTAGTATTGAAATGGATTGTGAAGAACTATTAAGAACAATTCATAGCAAATCATTAGATAAAGTGGCATGGCAAAGTTTTTCAATTATTTCGAGATCTTTCAATTGATTGAACTAAAATCAAGGAAATTGTTCAGGAATTGGATAATATGGCTGTTTTGCTTAGTCTCGTTTTGTTGCTGTTTTATTGTAGCTGTTTTTCTTCGGTTGTTCTGCTTTATGTATTAAATATAGGATAATGATAACTAAAACTCATCATCTATATTCATTTTATGGTATAAAATATGGCCTTATATGTTTATTTTTGGAAGATTTATGAGGGGTTAAAATAAAACGTGGATTATTTCTAGAGAAATAGGGAATGAAAGAGCTATTTCTATTCCATATACATAAAATTAATTAGTTAGTTATCTCAACCATGATTACTTGATCATATATTTCTATATTATCATGAGAGGGGGAATGCATCTTTCTTTCACATATAGAAGAATATTATAGGAGCATTTCGTTACTCACAAAAGTATTTTTTAAAAATATTTTTACGTAGACTGAAATAAAACTTTTCTCACATGTTTATTTTTTATACCATAAAATTATTTTTAAAATATGGTTTGGTTTCTATTCAAACACATCCTATATCATATTAATGTACATGCTTTAATATGATTCATTTAATCATAGAAAGAAACAAGAAATTCGTACTTTTGTCAATTTATTTCAAATTTAATAATGATTGAGATTATTTAATTGGGCCAGTAATAGGTATAATCATTTGAAAAAGTATAAAAGTTAATTGATATTACCAATTGCGGGGAAAATACAACAAGGTGTCGTGGTGTAGTTGGTTATCACGTCAGTCTAACACACTGAAGGTCTCCGGTTCGAGTCCGGGCGACGCCATTTGTGTTTGCAATTTTTTAATGATCATTTTAGTTTTCCCGACGCAATCAAAACGTTGTCGTGTTGATGTGGAGCAACTTTTCCCTTTACGCGCCGACGCGCCGTGTTCAAAGCCGCGTAATTCTCACGTTACCGGGCCCCACATAAGGGACCCGAAGAAATTGGCCGTTCGTTCCTTCGTGCTTCCAACGAATCCCACCCAATCACATTCGTTTCCATACAACTTCCTCGATTCTCATTGGCTTGTTGACTCCACGTCATCACTCCTCGAATCTCTACCACACGCCCTGCAATTACCAGGGAGATTCCTCCTTGATCCCAACTCAAATCTTGATTTCCCACAATGGTTAACCGAGTAATAATTCTATCTTCTAATATCCCAAAAAAAAAAAAAAAAGATATCCAGTTTTATATTATCTGTTAAAAAGGACTGTTTTACGCCAATTAACGAAATGCAGGTGATTCAGTGATTGACTCTATTATTATTTAATTTAAATTTAAAGTTGATTAATTTATCTTTTTTATCTTAATTAAATTAAAATTAAAAATTATTCAAAATATAGCTTGGGCTATAAATGGACCACCCCGCAATATCATGTTGGAGGGTTCGAGGGGCTTCTTTGTGGGATTTCGGGTGTCTTCTTCTTGTTTCAATCTTCTTCCCATTCTGTGTCAATTCTTCTGTGTTTTTGCCACGAGATGGGATTGCTTCGCTTTCGGATCAGTGCATTCGCTTTGCTTTTCTTTTCTTCCTTCTCCTCGGCTTTGCCTTCCACCTCCGATGTCGTCAACCCGCCCTACCCCAAGGCGATTGCTGTATGTCGGCTTTGTTTTGGATTTTCTTCTTCTGCTTATTCTTCTTTTTTCCTCCTTGTGCTTTGTTTCCCGCAATGTCATGGAGAATTATGAAAGAAAAATTCTTCGTTTATGATCTTTTAAGTTTTCGACCGTTGGAGCTTTGGATTTTTTTTTTTTTGGGTTAATCTGGTTTTTCTCTTGAACGGTGCTTTGCAACTGGGGAGAATTATGAAAAGTAACTTTGTTCTTGCGATTTCTTTTTTCTGGGTGTTTTAACTGATTTCTGTAAATCAGCTTATTTGTCGATACGGTTCTGATGATGGAATACGCGGTATTTACAGGATTTAAAAGAGGCGATTGTGAACGGATTGGGGTTTCCGTCGGAGGATTTCAAGATAAGTGGGTTTGATCCGAGGGATGCCCAAGTGGGGCATTCTGTGGCCTATGAATTCGACCTGGAGATTGATCAGAAGGTTATTCCGTTCAAGTTCTTAGAGGACGTGAACCGGTGGGATTACGTTGATCTTCCGATTTTCCGGATTGAGGAACCGGCAAAACCCGGCGAAGAAAAGGCTCTGGTTGAGAAGAGGAGATCGGATAATGAGTTACCAGTTTTGGCTCCGTTCCAATTGGCGGGACCCATGGAACTCTGGCTTCAGGACGCCAAGGATATGAGGATTTCTCTCCCTGTAAGTTTTTTTATTCCATTCTTATAATATTATTCGTCCTACATATGACAGTTGCCATTTTTGGATTAGACACACAGTGTAGCACAACTTGCATGAAATCTGGTGAATTGATATAAAATTTAAGAGATGTTGTAATATCGGTATTGATATATTGATGTATTGATTGATGAGTCCTTTCATGTGAGACCGGATGTAATTTGCATAATAATATACGACTGGAAAGGAATTATAGTCTGTGAACGAATTCGTTCTTGCCAGATGCATTGCAACAGACCACATTGCATTTAGGAGTTATGTGTGATCATGTTTCTGTATTTTTGTGCCAGCGTCTTGTGTCTTGTATCCATGTTAGAATCTGTACTTTTCATCTCAAATGTAATTAAATTAGTGGATTTGTACAAGAATTGAGATGACATAGTGGATAACGGCGATAATTTAAACTTTAGTGCTATTTACGTTTGTTATTGATCTTATCTGTCTCACTCAAATATTAAGGATTTAATTTGTTCCCAAACCTGTTGGATTTTTTATACAAGTATATTGGTGTGTTAATACTTAGTGACTCTGTTTTAGGTTGGTACCTTTAAAGCACCAACACTTAAGAACGAAATCAGGTCATGTCAGGATGTGCCATATTTCAAATTCAACTTTAATATTTCAGTTTTTGGTTGTGTTGCAATTTGTGTTGCGGTCTAGTATCCATGCCAGTAGTGGCTATGATGGCAAAAAAAATGATGTATTGTGATGGAACGAAGAGTAATGAAATCTTCGGTCAATCTGCAAAATTAGTAGGACATCCCTGTCAATGTGTATGGAATGAGATGGTTACTTCCTCCCTTTTAACTAGAACTCGTATGGTTTTGCAGCATGATGTTGATGCTGGCGTGCTCAAGAAAGTCATACTAGCAGATGGTGCCGTTGTCACTGTCAAAGGCGCAAGATCAGTTAGCCTTCGTAAACCACTTGATCTCCCCCTCCCCTTAAACAAATCACAGAGTGGATTTGCCGTTGGTCTTATGGCCTTGGCAGAGCAGCTCCGCCACACATCTCGCTCCCGCACGCAGGATGACCCTCTTCTCTCACTCCGCATTGTTGGTGCAACATCACTTTCATCCCCTTCCTCATCGACAACCTCTTCACATAACCGGCTCAAGCTCAAGCGCCTCGCGCCAGGTCTGGTGGAACTGTCTTCCCCGTTAAACACTAAGGCCATTGAAGCACTATCCCCAATTGATATCCAAAATGATGCTCCAACTCTGTTGACGCCAACTCAGTTTGCCACAATGTGGCCTATTGCTTCCATCAATGGATCAAACGCTAACTTGTTGGGTTTTGAGGCTCTCTTATCTTCTGTGTTGGGTCCTA